CGAGGGCGGCGGCGGCTGCACAGCATTAACGGGGGTTTCTTCCGGGGTCGTCTCCACAGTCGGTGTAGCAACATTACTGATAGCCCCCAGGGGTTCATCATCCTCATTCAACGAGATCCCAGCCTCCTCCCGCATCCGGACCATCTTGAATCGATCCTTCAGGCTATTTCTAGCCGGTCGATAGTTTCCATTCGTGCTCGCGCCTCCTTTCTCTTCTTCGAGCTTGCTCAACATCATGTCGGGGTTGCTGGTGACGGTGACTACAGAGCTGGTCGTGTTTCTCCTGCTTACACCGGCAGAGGCGGCAGGTTCCTTCGGCGTAGAGCTCCGGGATAGCCAGGAGAACGGACTCGTTATCTTCCGCGTAGGGGGAGGCGGGGGTGCTATGGACGCAGCAGCGGCAGCTGGGGTGGTAGAAGGATTCGGACTAGATTTGGGAGGTGTGTCGGTGTTGTTGGTGGGGGGAGACCATGGCATGGAGGGGAGTGAGTTGGCAATATTGCTGAGTGAGAGCTTCTTTCCAGGCTTCTTTTCCGCTACGGGGAGTTGCTCTACTGCACTGCCTGTCAGCTACCATGTAACTTCTGCTATTATTAAGTTCAAGCTTTCGGGAACTAACCTTTGGGCAGTTCAACCACAGATGGGGGCTCGACTGGAGATGCTAACGATAGCTCGACCGACGGTCGCTCGCCCGAAGAGGTGTCGCCAAGATCGACATTGTCAAGGGAGGCATCGGACGTGCGCTTGGAAGTCGGTGTCGATTCAGTGGCAGCATCCTGCTGTTCTACTATGCTCTCGGCCTTGTCTGTCTCTTCTGTCTTTTCTACCTTGTCCTCGACCTTGTCCTCGACCTTTTCTTCGGCCTTTTCTTCGACCTTGGCTTCGACCTTGTCTTCTGTCTTGTGCTCTGTCGTGTCGCCGTTCTGCTCCACTGCACCACCGTCACCGTCATCATCATCCTGTTTCTCTTGAACGGGGCTCTCTGGCGCACTAGAGGAGTCGTCCGACCCAGCACTAGGGGGTCTCACGGGCTGGGGTTGGGGGATTTTGCGGTTTGTGAGAGATCTGATAGAGCCTGTGTCGATAGCGTCCTCGAAGTTGTCCTGTGTACATGCACGTTCGGAATTAGCATGGCTAGGTAGCCAGGTAGAATTATCGTGCCAGCGCAGCGTCGTGTGACCGAATACGACCTGGGGGGGAATTCCACATACCGTTTCCTTGTCCGAAAGAGCAGGAGAGTCGTCAATTCGCAGGCCAGCCTCGGAGGACGGCTTCTCCTCGTGTGTGGGCATTCTGTCTACCAATGCTAGACTCATGGCGTGGTGTGGCGTGGCGTGGCAGGTTCAGCTATAGGTAGCCGAAGCTGGTGGTGTGGTGTGTCCTGTTGGAATAGGGATGGGATAATTAGGGGTCGTGGCCGGAAAGGACAAGCAGGGTAGTATCGTGTCTAACGATATCTATCAAGCCTCGGCCATGGGCAATGGGTAACAGCAGAGGCAGAGACAATGGGTACAGGGACCAAGGACGTATTGCTCTGGCAGTGAGGGAGGGGGGCTTACAACTGTGGTGTAAAAGGGAAAAAAGAGGGCAAGGGAAAGGAAAAACAAGAAAAGACGTTTGCAACTCTCTGACCTAACCTTAGCAGTGTTACGGTGAAGAAGACATGGAGACAAAAAAAAAAGAGAGAGAGGAAGGTTGAGAGACGTGCTCGGTTCAAGTGGTTTTTGTTGCTTTCCCACTAACCTACACGGCTTTTGGGTGTTGACTGGGGGGCTAAAGATGGATCTACGGAGTACGGGTAGCGGGTACGGTGTTGCTAGTGTGTAGATTTTAATGGGGTTATCTGTGTAAGTAGTTGTACATATCTTTTGCAAGCCAATTGTCTGCCAATTGACCACCACCGCCTGCAGCCTGTATGTACATTAAGTATCTAAGGTTAACCTAAAGCTGAAGTGTCCAGCGTTCAGTGTCCAACGCCCAGCACCCAGCACCCAGTCCGCTGTCCCACCACCCAGCCAACAGCCTACCTAGCGGGGCTTCCCCCCCCCTTGGGTACATGACAATCAGGCGGTAACTTGTGGCATGCCGCAACCCTGAACAATGGTGTGGCGCTACAAACGCAGAACGTTCTAACCTATAATCCCTACCTGGGATTAGTAGTATGTAGGTAGGTTTATACAATAGGGGGCTTATTGCGGGTCTGGAGGGGCTCAAAAAACATGTCGCCCGCCCTCTGACCATTCAGTTCATTGCACGACGTTTCTCTCGCTTCGCTCTCCTGATGAGCTTTCCCTTCACGGTGCATACATACATACCTGAAATATTGTAAAATAAAAAATAAAAATAAAAATACAAGAAATAAATAAAAGTCTACTGCACGATGAATTGGTGCTGTTACCTACCTAGGTACACGACATACAATCAAGCAGATCCCAGAAACAAATAAACAAATAAATAATGAACGTAGGGGAAGACCATTGAATGCATTCATTCATTATTCCATCCTTCCATTTATCCCCCTTTCCCTCCTTCCCTCTTTTTTCCTCTTCTTCTTCTGTTCTCTTTTCTTCCCCTTTCTCCCCCTTAACGCCAGTTGTGTTACTAAGGTAGGTACTAGTTCTCCCTAGCTCCTTAAGTATCCATTTACAGTACCTATACTCTAATAGACTCATTCCTTCCGACTTCAGGGTTGAATTGCTCTCCACGCGATAGGGTGACATCATTTTGTCTTGTCTTGTCTATGTAATCTTCATTGCTTGGTCCCTAATTAATTGTCTGGATTCCGCGTTTTGATAAGTTGATGGGTGACATGGTGGCTATGCTGCCAACTCTCTCAACCCCCCCATCCCCCATCAAACGGAATTCTTCTCTTATACGAAATGGAAATAGTGTTGCATTAGTTGTTTTATTAATATCCCAAACGAGACAAAAAAGAGACCTGTCATTCGGCAGCGTTGCCGCATCTCGCATGTCGTTGTTGTTATTGTTCTGCTGTTCTGTCCTGTTGTTCTTCTTCCCTGTCCATCCGGCCACAAACGAATAATCCAGAAGCTTGAGTCGCATCCTGGCCCCTTGGTCGATCGCGTAAGGCCACGCGTCGCACCGTGCATTCCCTGTCTAGCCCCGAACAGGCCATGTATCCCGATTAGATGGACACATGGATCGCGCTTGGAGGACCCCCAATTCTATCAAGTTTCGACACCGCCTACCTAGATCGCTATAACCCATCACCTTTAAGGAAGGACAACGTTGGGCAAGAGACCAAAAAAAGGAGTAGGTAGTACTGTAGTAGTAAGATAGTACCCAAGTAACCTGATCTGTATTTTTATTATTTTTTTATTATGGAATGTAACGAAACATCTTTCTCCTCTACCGTGACCTGACCTGACGCCGGACATTACATAAGGGACTACCTATGCAAGTAGGTAGGTAGGTATTCACTTCGTCGTGCAAAAGCATCTGGCCTTTTGGCTCCTTCATCCACCCACTACCTACCTAGGTACTTATGTACCTTCTCATCCCGCTAGTGTAGATATATCACTGTATCTCTTGCCTAGGGTAGAGTTTCAATAACTTAGTAACTGTCATCGATGTAAGACCTAACCTTTATATTGAATGATATATTGAATGAGGAAGAGCATAAGAGCAAGACTCGTACCTTAACTCACCATCTGGATCATGTAAGCTACTCATCTAATATTGATTCACATGCAAAGCGGATTTTGTAGACTCTCACGCCAAACCAGGCACATCTTGATACTCGAAGTAAGACCTTACCATCGTAGAAAAGCTATAGGTAATTAGTAAATATTTCTGTTGTTACATATGAAGTCATGATTTATCGATAAGTTATATATCTTCTCTCCCTCTCATGTATATCGGAATAGCAAGACTTTATATATATATAAGGGGTTCATAGGGTCCTCTATCTGTCTTTTTATACATCACAACGACAATTAGACTAGTGGATGGTTCAAATTGTCTAGAAGACCTTATAATCATAACTTATCACACCTCTCTACATACCTACCCAACTTGAAGCCTTAACAAAGAGCATGTATGGTGTAGGCTGTGAACATCATGAAGGGATTTTTAGCCAGATACTGGCTGACTCTCTGAGACAAGTATGCTCAAAGTAATGAGTAAACAACTAATTTTATATTTTATCTTAGAGTATATTGCTTCTAGTTATTTTTAGGGGTATTGAGATTTTGTATATTGTTATTAGCACAACCAGCTATTATCACCGTAGGGAGATTACCACTTCCTTACAAGCTGGAGCTGGGTCAAAAAAGCATGATGACAGGTAAGGTCATTTTAGTCAAATCTTCCTCTCAAAGCTCATATCGCAGTATGATGAATGTACCATATTGGAGTAATAGAGACAGGACAAAGATATTTCTAACTGTGAAGCTGTTTACCACCAAGTCATACACTAGTATCAATTCGACTTAACGTATCTGCATACCTAGTTGACTAAAATACACATCATCAATCGACATTATGCCCAATACACGAGAGTGAACAAGTAGCCCAAACTGGACATGGATATCATTGTTCCTCATTAACCTGACTGAAAGTCATTATTTTTCAGCAATAGAAGTGTATAAGCCTAGAGTTGATGACTATTTACTGTCAAAGCTATCAAACTACCTATATAACCTCTAGACGCATATATCACAATGTATCAAGAAATGCTGGGCTTAGGCTCGTGGCTAACAAAAATAATTTGCCTTCCGCCGGCATCGGTCGTAGCAGCATAGAGTGGAAATCTTTTTGTCCACCGCCTTCTCGGCCCCTCCATTATCGCATCGAGGCTCGAGCCACCCATGCCTCTAGCCCCACCGCCAGGCTTTTTTGTCCCACTTGGAAAAGTTGAGACAACGAATCATCCGCCTCGCTAGAGAGCGAGGAGAATGAGAAGGGTTTCTTGAACTAAAGTAAGAGCCAAATCTTTCAGCAATAAGTGGGTTACTCAGGAACTCCTGATCCACACATCCGGGCTTGTGGTCTAGTGGTATGATTCTTCCTTAGCATGGAAGAGGTCCGGGGTTCAATTCCCCGCGAGTCCAGCAATTTCTCTTTTGCCAAATTTTCTTTTTCTCTCTGGGGTCAATATTGGCGATTGATTCTTCTCTTGACTTTTTAGTTTAGATATGATTCCGGCCCGGATATGCGTGGAATCGTGGCCGGCTGCCGGCATTGAAGATTGCTTTCTCTCATCTTTGTTGAGCGAGCGAACGAGCCACCTTCGCTTTTTATTTAACATTTGACCTCCAAGAAGCCTAATTCGTCTTTTCGGTTCTCACCATTACACAATGTCCACCTTTTCTCTCTCAGGGCTCTATGTAAAAATCTCAACACTTACCTTTTCTTAGCTTCATACACAAGGTCATAAACTTTAAGTAAGTAGTTACCTAGTGGTCGGATTACCTTAAAGCTTGCTAGCCTTGTGTGCATGCATCAATATATATCGCGACCTTAAATTTATTACAACCATTGATATACGTTGAAAAGCGTCGTAGATTGAAGTTGCCTAGTTTGCTTTTGCTTGTTCATTAGATGTCGCACATACTTAATGTGCATCGTGTCTTACTTTTAAGAGTTCCCACTGCTTGTTCCTCCGACTTCATCCTACCGTGCTGTTACCTACCTAGGTAGTCTCATCTGTCGAAACTAATTAGAGTCTTCTCCTCGATTTTATAAGTATTCCGGTTTTCATTTTCTTAATCAATAGCATGTTGCTATGGCGTGTGAACAATGCCACATATCTTTTTTTTCCCCTCTCTTTTTTCTTGAGGTCTCTTTCTCCCTCTTCGTAAAACAATACCCCGCTTTGGTTGTTTGGTGGGCTGAGCACAGATCAGCAATTCACCAGATGGGTACCCCTAGGAGAGGACAAGGCTAAAAAAAAAAACCACGACCCCGCCATCAGCAGAGAGCATTTCCCCTCCGTCCCCTCAGAGTGGATCCGAATGTCGTCGTTGTGCATGGGCCCGATCCCGCACTTACTTATCTGTGCTTTCCTTTCTGATGTTATCAATATGTGCTTACCTTTTCTTACACTACGTAGAGACCTCCTAGTCATCTAACCCTCTAAGCATCATTTTTAAGCCCAGGTAATATTTCAACTTTAAGTGTAGTTGCGGACAGAAAATACAGGGATGTGAAAAGGATAGGTACGATGATAGAGTTTGTCTATCTATAATCACCAGTTGACTTATTGATGCGCCTAAAGATGTCTACCTAGGCAGGTAACTAGCTACAGTGCATGTCTGGTACCTACATGCCTAGTAAGCCCAATTTACCAACATCAACCATGCTTGGCGGCCTATGGCTTTGTTGCTTATATGCACTACACTACATGCACTCTCCAATACCATCCTCTATATCCTAGATGGTCTGTGACGCCGGGAATTTTAACCTGATGTGCTCCTCGGGGGTTTAATTTTGTGGGTTCGTCTGTCGACTTGGGAGCAGAAGCTTAGCTAGTCTGCGGCCCAATATCCATAAACCTTAGTATTTAAGCCGTTGGACGGACAATTCTACATTGACTTTCTAGGTAGGTAAGCATCTGGCTTGTAGCGATCTGTTGAAGACTGGGATTTATGGCAGAAACTACTTGGGCAAGATAACGCATATTGATGGAGTAAGACATTACAAAGAACCAACATGATACATATCAAATATGAACTTGCCTGAAACAAATACTAATGAACGAAAAGGGTCAGTCAGCTCTGACCCTGACTCTGTCTGTATAGCTGCAGACTTCATAATTCCCATAGCTGTTGCCTGGTTTATAAGTGAGAAGTTGTGTTAGGTTTTGGCTGATCTTGTAAATGTAGAACTGGACTTATAGGACATTGCTGCTTTCAACAGAAAGCTCGTAAGTTTTATGGGGTAGGCTACCTAGTGATACTACTACTTGACATATTATTAACGCCTCAAGGCACCTTTAAGTAATCAGGTTGACATGTTGGGCTTGTAGGCAAACAAATGGACGCTTTCTATGTCTAACCATAGGAGAGGGGGGAATATTTAAGAGTGCAAGCAGTTATAGCACCTACCGATAAATACCAACCTAACGTCAACCCTATATACATAAGGTACCTGTAGAAAATCTGGCAGTCAGCTGAATTCACATATACATAGGTACCTATCTATATAAGTCCCCGGGTAGGCCTAATAAATAACTTTAAGTACCTGTATGCAGGTAGGTATACCCAATCCGATATGAGTTGATGGCAATGTACCTGGACACATACAATAGCTACCAGACCTACCAGACATATATACATCCTATACAGACTTCAAACTTAGGTATGCTGTCAGCACCTATCTGAAGTACATCAAATAGATGCATGCATGTATGCAAGTAGACAGGCATGCTAGATTTAGGTTAGGGGAACAGCTGCTATAGCTAACATACCTACCTTTTATTACATATGTACCAGACCTACCTAGGTAAGTTACTTATGTAGTATATGGGATAGCTATGTAAAAGACTTTCAACATATTATCCGCACTATGTGACAAAGTAGGTGCGCTAGGCACTTAAGGGCTACATAGCTACCATGTACCTAGGAGGTAACACAAAGATACATATCAGGTTATGTACACTGGGTAGTAGGTATCTACATACATAGGATGTACCTAAATTGGGGATAGGTGCCTGTTTTATAGTAAGATTCTAAGCCGTTCTACGCTGCTCTGCCAGCTTCCTAAGTACATCCCTACTATTTCCCAACATGGCGCCGTAAGGAAGGAGAGGAAAAAAAAAAAGTAAGGCGTGCCCGCCCGTAAGGTCTTTCCCGGGACCCGCTTTTCCCTTGCACTACCACTACGTTGGTCAAAGCTCCACCTCTCTACACTACAGCACAATCATTACGCAAAAGGCACACACACCTTGTAGGCGCGCAACCTTCAACTTTCATCACTAACTTGACCTTCCGATCCCCAAACCTACCTATCTCTCCCCCCTTCGCCTCAGGACATCTCTCTACCTTCACCCACCTGCATCCTCCAACATTGCATCGGGATTCAGGTATTACTCTTCGAGTCGTGAGAAAACCCATCCCCGGCTTGTTATAGCCATCCATCATATTTTTTTTCGGCTCTGCGATCTGACGGAACAGCGGCCTGCACCCGCCTGAACCATCTGACCCCAGCATCTTCACGCACCTGAAATCCATCCAGCTAGCATTTCGCATCTTCATCATCACCACACCCCTCACTTGCCCACCCCGGCAACCGTGGACACTGAATCCTCGTACATCCATTCACTATTCACCCGACCAACATAAAATCTTTTCCCACCGTTTTCACCTTTACCACCGACCTAGTCTTTCCGGCGTAACCCCCCACGAGGTCTTCCCTACAAACCTCTACCTACCTCCCCGGGTACCCGCAAGGCTGATCTTTGGAGGCGAGGCTCAATAATCTTTTCGCTGCCGCTTCGTATAACCTACCTAGCCCCACCACCTTGTGTACTGAGAAGCATACGGAGGACCCGTACGAGAGGAGCAGTCCATGCTAATTTGGATGCTCCGCAGCGACGAGTCAAGTTGTCGTTACCGACTACCTGAGCTTTGGTAGTGGAGGGGGAGTTGATACGTTCTCTGCGGCTTTGCCGCCCCGGCCTTCACCATGGGAAAGATAACGAAGACCATCCAACCCAAGCATAAGGAGACTCTGGTGAGTACTCTGATTTTTCTTCTTCTCTTTTTCTCCTCCCCTCCCCCCTCCCCCCTCTTCGTTCTGCTTGTCCGTGTATTTGCTGACCCGTGTCTCTCTCCCTGCCCCAGTCTCCTTGGCTTCAGCAGTTCGTCGACACTGCTACCTCGGCGCCACTGGCTCGCCTGCCCGAGACTCTCGCCACCTTCCCTTCACGATGGCCTTTCCCTCGTGGAGATTTGTATCACTGGATACCGTTGCTCAACCGATTTGATGGGCTTCTGGAATCATTCTGCGAGACCTACAAGCTGAACGAGGGCCCCCAGACACGAGACTTTGGCTGTGAGATATTGCTGGAGACAGTTGATGGCGACACTCCGGCTGAGAAGACAGCAAAGCTTGCTGAGCTGGGATATGGCGAAAATGGCGACGTATCTCTTATTGTCTCCATACTCAAGTTTACGCAGATGCTGCTAGATCATTGTGGCAACCGAAGCATATATGCAAGCAGTTCTCACCTGAATGACCTCCTCAATAGTACGGACTTCACCATTATCTGTGCCACCCTTCAGGTTGGTGTAGAACTGGCCCAGCGCTACCAGGCCTCGGTGAAACGTATTCATGGCATGACTACTCGTCAAGTACATACAGCCCTCCTAGCGAACCATTACAATATCGACCTCGATCGTGTACAGCAGCTGGCCCAACCTTTCGTCAAGACACCGATTGTGAAGCTATCTGACGCTTCTTCTTCTGTCTCCACGCCAGGTAGTGCTAGCAAGAATAAGGACAAGGCGTACGGAGGGAGCTCGAAGAATGTGGCCACCATGTTTGCCAATGACCTTTGTGCCATTGCAAAAGTCGATTCGGCTGAGAACAATGCGTCCCAGGCTCGCTGGAATGGCTGGGGAGATGTGAAGATTATTTACTATCCTGCAGCGGGCACCTCTCATGAGCAGGCGCAGCATCCCGTTCTAGATCGAGGCAACTCGAATGTTCCCTCTACTCCTACCCCTTTGAGACGAAGCAGCACCTCGGCTGCTACACAAGCTACTCCTCGCGCTAGCGGGCAAGGAGCATCGGAGGATAGTCCAACATCCGTGACCCGGTCTCCTGCTTTTGGCCGTGAAGATGGTGGTACGCCTAGCCAAAAGTCTTTGGAGATACCTCAGTCTACAGTGGCCTCGACCTCGACCTATGAACTTCTACAACGTGTACCCGCCGATCTACCCAAGGAGACTAGGTACGAATTTTTAAACCGGCTTAGAGTTGCCAAGGCGTTGATGGGGTCAGTTGAGTCGCGACAGCAGGCACTGAAGGCACGGCTCTTGGCAATCCAAAATCTAGCGTATATCCACATCGAGCCCACCTTTGTGGAAAAGGTTCTTAGACAGGACAA